GGTTCTGTATGTGGACTGGTTCTGTGTGTGGACTGGTTCTGTATGTGGACTGGTTCTGTATGTGGACTAGTTGTGGTTCTATATGTGTCGGTTCTGGTTCTGTGTGCGTTCTGAATCTATATTTCCAAACTGGTTTGTACTGAACGTTAAAACATTGACTGATGAAGTGAAATCCTCATCAACACGTTGAATCAAACACACACTAGAGTAAACGTGTGTTTCCTGTCCTCGGCGGTCGGACGTGTCTCTGACCTGATCGGCGAGCGACGTGCTGAGCATGCTCATCAGCTCTCTCTCCGCCGTCAGACGCCACATCTGCTCCCAACCGATTCTCCGCAGCCGCTCCAAGTACAGGAGGATGACGCCTGCAGGAGAACCACAGGGAAACTGCTGACAAACCCAAACGCTGTGATGATGCCGCAGGACGCAACATCCGACACTTCCCCAGTAATCAGAACTTCAGTGTTTCTGTGTGAGTTCGTGTCTGACGTGTTTTCCAGCCTCAGGATCTGAGCAGTCACCTGTGTTGAAGCCTCGGCCCAGTGCAGGCCAGGGTTTGTGGTTCTTCCACAGGTTCCCCAGGTACCAGTCGCTCTGGTTCTCCACCAGACCGATCACCTGTTTATCTGCCAAGAAACACATACGTCAACATAATCAAAACCAAGATCAAAAATTAATTCAGTCTGTTGGATTTTCATTTTTTATTGTCATTCAGTATTAGTTGTTCATCAGTCAAGGTCACTCAACGGCTCGGTTTTAAATCGCAGGTTTTCCTCCAGCTTCAGGATCCTTCAGAAGCACGTTAGACCCGGTTGTCTTGTCGTCCCTCCACCACAACCGACAATAAACATCAATGCTGACCTCCTCCCAAAACTTGAAAATGAAGTCATATACAGGATGTTGGCAACACGTAGCTATAGCAACAACATCCTGCAGGTCCTTTAAAAGCTTCTTGACAGTGAGACAAGAACCGACAAAGAAGCTGCTTGAGTTTTTAAACCTTTGAGGAGGAATCCGGTTCGTTCGTGTGTGAAACCATTTATCGATTATCACAACACTCTCTCACATATTTCTACTATTAAAATGAAAATCACGAGCGAGGTTGTTCCACGTTCTAGTTTTAAATAAAACTCTCACCTGTAAACTTCCTGAAAATGCCCCAGAGCTCGGCGATGTCGGTGGCGAAGGTGATGTCCGTGTCCAGGACGATGACCTTTGACAGGTCGGAGGGTAAAGCTTTGGTTAGCGTCAGCTTCATCAAGCCGTAAATACCTGAGTAGTGTTTGTTGGGTATCCACGACACCTCGGACTGAAACGAGAGGAAAACGTGTGTCAGTTCACGTTCACTGTAAATCTTCAGCTGGTTATTTCCCATTATACATAATAACATATTTATCATGGCCGAGGCTGCGTGGTTCATTATATATGTGCAGGGTTTAACACGGCTCACACAACATTCAGCAGATTCTGGATTTTTATTTTTCCGAATCCGCAAATAATGTCTTTTAATTAATTCTCTCGATTCAGAGTAAGTGGATCTGCGTAAGTGCATCATCTGCAAATATAATCGTCTTAGAGCCGGAGCCGCTTCTCTGCTTTACTGTGACTTCATGGAAACTGAAGAGAGCGAGTGCAGGTCGAAGCATCCGACAACACAAAGGACTCATTGTTCAGCACAAACACTGTGAGGGCGGAGAATGTGATGATGTGAGGGATGGAGACGCAGGTCTGAGACACACACACACACACACACACACAC